AAAAGTTAAAAAACAAAGAGCTGAATAGTAGGAGCCTGGAGGTAGAGGTGGGGGAAATGGGGAGAAGTTGATCAAAGTCTACAAACTTCCATTTATAAGATGATTAGATTCTAGGGAACTGATATATTGTATGGTACTTAACAGTACTGTATTATATGCTTAAAAGTTGCTAAGAAAGTAGTTCCGAATTGTTCTTACCCCAAAAGAAAAATTGTGATTATGTGAGGTGTTGAGATATTACTTAAGCTTATTGTGAGTATAATTTCCATATATATATATATATATCATCATGTTGTGTCTTTTTTTAAAAAATATATTTTTATTTATTTTTTTTAGAGAGGGGGGAAGGGAGAGAGAGATAAAAAAACATCAGTGTGAGAGAGAAACATTGATTGGCTGTCTCTTGCATGCCCCTTACTGAGGATTGAGCCTGCAACCCAGGCATGTGCCTGACCAGGAGTCCATGGGAGGATGCTCAACCAACTGAGCCACACCAGCCAGGCATCATGTTGTGTATTAAACTTACATAACGTTGTGTGTCAATAGTATCTCAGTAAAGCTAAAAAAAAAATTTAACTTTAAAAATATTTGTTACCAATATGGCCATTATAAAAAAGAGATTAAATTAAATGTATGTAAAATTCATACAGATTTAGGTCATTTAATTTTTTGTAAATTAATGTGTAGCAGAGATTTCTCAGAAACATAAGTATCTTTGTTTCTTAAAATAAATCAAATATGAAAATTAGATTCTATGAAACTTATGCCTTTGGACACATGAACCGTAAGTGATTTAGATTGTGATGGATTGCTCTTTGTGGTCTCTTTGAACACATTATTATTTATTCTTAATTTCATTTAAATTCTCTCATATTATTAAAAGTGGAGGTATCAAAACTACAACCCAAGAATATAAGAATGACCTAAATTTCAGGTGATCATGGACAGAAAAACAAAAATATATGAATACTTGGCGCGTTTAAGGTGACAAGTGGGAAATGCCTTCTCTTTCTTGAGTTTCTTTGGGAGGTTCTAGGTTGTAAAGTAGTTGCATCTCAAGTATAAACACAGTAAGGATGGGCCAATCAATGCTTGTAAAAGACTAGTAATCTTTGTGCTAATAAAATAAGTTCTCAGTGTGAATGAAGGAGCAAATGTACTGATTAAACCACGATTTCCATGATGGATCTGATTTCTGAAAATTATCTTTTTACTAGCTCATCTGATATCTTACATCTGTTTTTGTTGTTACCAAAAATCACAGATTCAGACTGCACATCAAAATAATATTGTGTAATTTGTGCTACTTTGAATTTGTCCATGATAAGTCAATATCCTTTCAATGAATTTGTTTCAGATTAATCAAAGTATACTCGTACTAAATATGTGAGTAAAAATACCTTTCCTGTTAGGCAATTTGTATCTTCATTCCAAGAAAAGCCTGTTAATATTTTTACCACTGAATTTAAAACAAAAACATTGCATAGGAAAATAAATGAGCCCTTTGGAAATCTACAGTTCAAACCTTGGCATTCAAGCACGGTATTAAATTATAGCGTACTGTTTGTTTAGTATTCTATAATAAATGCCAACTTTACATACATAATGTTCTTGCCACAGGTCGCTGACTTATCTACTGCTTACATGATATCTAAAGTAGTCTGTGTATCAAAATGTATCCCTCTTTTCCATTTTTATGTTTGGATGCCTCCATAATCACGAGAAGATGAAGCATTCTGTGTGAAATATGAGACATCGCCATCTAATACTTTTGTTACTAATATTAAGCATTTGGGTGAGAATTATTTAGTCCTCTGTAATGCTTCTGGTTTATACTAAAATTCATATAAATCAACATGGGCAGCACTACACTATTCTTACATTAGATTTTACTCTAATGGATACATAGGTCTAAAGTGTTGGGAATATAATTGATGCTGCCAGTAATGCCTGCAATCTTCAAAAATTGTATGCAGTTTGATAAGTTGTAGCACTTATTAACATTATCACAGAAAGCATAATTTATATGTAATTCCTCAGATGTAATAAATACTTTATATTAACATACCATTACTTCATTATAACTTTCTGTCTGTGTCATAACAAATGAAAAAGTATGTCAGCAAATAAAGATTCTGAGTACTAAATCATTATTTTTCTCTCGAGCACTTGGTATAAGTTTACATTTTGTGTGACCTACATAGCAATGCATTTTTGCAATACGATGTATCTGATAAAATAGACAAAGTCAGATATTATTTTGAATTTGTTTTCAAAAAGTCCTTCTGCAAAAAAAACGGGAAAAAAAATCAGCTCTAAAGATTCAGAGGCTAGCTAGAAAGGTAAAACTGATTTTAAATTTGCATTTTTGAAAAATTCTCTCAAGGGTAATATTAACAGATAATATCAACTGTCCATGTGATCGTGGAACCCAGAAGTCGTCTACTGAATATTTGTATGATTCTGAAAGAACAATGTTTTGCAGTTAAACTCTTGTTCACTAAAGAGAATAGATAAAAATGACTTAGGAAAATCTTTAGCCAGCAAATACAGTTGTTTGCACTTACAAACAGTAAGTCTGATCCAGCACCCGCTGCCCTAGCACCCTCCGCCCCCAAGAGAAGTGTTTCCGCGCTTTCTGGTTTGCATTCCTGTCTTACTCAATTTCAAGGGTCTAGCCAATTTAAACTTTTAAGAGTTGCCATCGACAACCCAATTCTAATTATAGGATGGTGTCTTAAGATGAAATAGTAGGAGTTAAGGGCGAGACAATTTTTAATATGCACATAATCTATTCTGGCAAATTATCACTTTTCTCTACACATAATCCTGGCTTCATTTTGCATTGTCACAGGTGTTCTAAAGTATGGGGATCTCATGTCCATTTTTACCTAGGACAGCTCTATTTTATTTCTGGAATTTTCCTGGAAACATGTATCCTTGATTTTTTATTTTAATATTTTTTCACCATTTTAAATTAAATTTACTGGGGGGACATTGGTTAATAAAATTACCTAAGTTTCACTTGTACAATGCTATGATACATCATCTGTATATTGCATTGTGTGTTTACCACCCAAGGTTTATCTGATGTTTTATTTTTTTTTAAATAATATTTTTAGTAGGTGTATGACAATAAGCTAGAGTAAATTTGGTAGGCACCTACTTTTTACTTGTAGCTTCCTTCATGGGGTATAGGAAATCATAGTGTATTAGGAAGTCTAAAGCTTTAATACTAAATGTATTTTGGTCAACAACTCACCATACCATGGTTTTGGCTATTATTCCTGAAGCTACACACAGGTAGTCTAGTTCTGGAAACTAGACTAGGGATGGAAAATTCCTCTGGAAAGAAATGAAGTGGAGACAGTGAGAACTTATAGGGGAAGTAAATGAATGTCCACAGAAGTGTAGTTGAAAGACCATCTTTCCCAGTACAAACGGATTGAATTAACAGTTCCCAAAGAAGGCTTTGTTGAAATAACTTCACAGTCACTAAAGAATTGATTTATTTATAATTTTAATATTACATGTGTAAGTTAAGGTATATAATGTGTTGATTTGAGACATTTATATATTGCATATGCTTAGCATTGGCTAGCATCTCCATCATGTCACATAATTATTACTTCTTTTGTGGTGAGACCTTTAAGATCTAGTTTCTCAGCAATTTTGAAGATTATAATGCAGCATATTTGATGATAATCACTATGTTGTGTGTTAGTTCTCCAGAACTTACCTAGTAAATGCAAGTTTGTACCCTTTGATCATTATCTCTTCAATTCCCCCACCCTCCGCTCCTGGTAACCAACAATCTACCCTCTGTTTTTATGAGTTCAGCTTTTTTAGATTCCACATATGATAATATGTAGGATTTGTCTTTCTCTGAATGACTTATCTTAATGCTCTTAAGGTCCATCCATGTTGTCACAAATGGAAGGAATATGTTTCAAACGCCTGAAATGAATGTGTCTACATTTTGAGTAGTTATATAGTATAAAACGAGTTTTAAATAACTAACATAAAAACACTAAGACAAAACAGTGAACTTATAATTATATGTAATAATTAAGGGTCATTGTAAAGTTTCAAAATTTTATTAGTGAATAAAATAGAAGGGCTATTAGAAGGGCTTTCTATTAGAATTTCTTGGTTTATAAAATTAGATTGTAACAAAAAACCATGATGCTAGTTGTAAAAATAAAAAGTCACATGGTGTTATTGATTTTGGGCTACTTGATTTTGTGCTATTTGTGTTACCATTCTTATTGACATAGAACAACATGTATCAATAAATGCACATTTTCAAGACCTATAATGGTAGATTTCATAGTGATAATCAAAAAACTTAATACGTTTAAAGAAATTCAATTTGAGCATTAATTTTAAATGTACAAGTACTAATTTTTTATATATTTTTTTCATTGCTACTGGATTAAAATGATAATGCTTATTTTATCAATATCTGGTAGAATTTGCTTTGCATTTTTTAAAAAGTTCTTTAAACAAGTAGGAAGTTTATAGAAGGGAATTAAACAGAAAAAATAGTTATATCTGTTCTCAACTTTATACCATTTTAAGCTCATTTAAATAATCTTTACTCATATTTTATCAACATTTACCAATTTTTGAGGTGCTGATCCCAACATGATTTTTGAAGGAAAGTATTTCCAATCTTTTTATTTCTCTGATAAAAACACACCTTTGAAAATCCTGAATTACACATTGTAATGGATTATTAAATGGTTACATTTAATCATGTCATAGATATACATGTATGAAATTCTATATTGTATATGAGAATTAGAGCCATTTTGTATGTGGTTATAATCTCTTATCTATATAGAAACTATATATAGTTTTGAAATTCAGGAAAAGGAGGTGGACTAATCTTGTATTATGTCATCATTGTTCTTGCTAAAGAAAGAATGCTCTACAGAACTGAACTGATTAGTCAATAAGACAAGAGTTTTAATTTCTTATAACTGCTTTCTCTTCAGGAACATTCGTCACCCAGGTGACAGCAAGTGACGTGGATGATCCTTCACATTATAATAATGGTCGTCTTGTGTACAGTTTACTACAAGGCCAACCATATTTCTCCATTGAACCAACAACAGGTATTTCTGAATGAAACCAAGTACAATTCCACATGATTCTAAATAGGCCAATTTAACACCAAAAATTCTCAGCTTACAAACATGTTCTATTGCAGACCTGCTGTTATACAACAATAAATATATAAATAAGTGTTTTATATTTTAAACATTTAATCATTTTCAGTCTTTCAGTTTATTTTTCTAAGGTTGAAAGACTGGACTTTACACACCCATACTACAAATAGTTTGTGTTTGAAGCATAAGACATATATATGTAAGTATTCTTGCAAATCAATTAGAAAATAGCAGATAAGCCAATTAAAAATATGAAGAAAGAACTGGTAATTGACAAAAAGTTGATATACAAAACACCTACAAGTATATTAAAAATGCTTACCTCATTAATAATCATGGAAATGCTAACTGAAGTCACAATGAGGAACACCAAAAACCCAACCATAATGACTAATATTAAGCATGAATTTCCAGCTGGATGAAGGGACTGATATAAGGCATTTTTGTAAAAAAAAAAAAAGATTTCTGCATGTTATGTATTTTTTATTTAAATTTTAAAATTGAAGTTCTAAAATTGCTTTTCATTGATGTTTCTCTCTCTAAAAAATCAGTAAAAACATTTGAAATTTTTTTTAAAGAATGATAATGTTGAATTCTTAAAATTAACTAGGAAGATGCCATGGTTAATAATAAATTGATCATGGAAGTTTATTACACTTTTACAGGAGTTATAAGAACGTCTGCTAAGATGGATAGGGAGCTGCAAGATGAGTACTGGGTCGTCGTTCAAGCCAAAGACAAGATCGGTCTGAGCGGAGCACTGTCTGGGACAGCCAGTGTGCTAATCAAGCTCACTGATGTCAACGACCACAAACCTATATTTACAAAAAGTAAGTAGGAAGCATCTTGAATTCCTATTATGATGTAAGTATAAGCGTGCTGCGTGTACGCAAGGTGTTCATTTGCACTCTAAAAGCACTACTACGGCACTAAAATTACATACCATAAGTGTAATTGTTCTAGGGCGTGTTTATGTTCCTTGGTGTGAGAAGTAAAGTACAAATGAAAGAGTGCTGTGTCATTTTTCAGCTGCTTGTGTAACCAATCATACAAACTTCACGTCTTACCTTGAAGTCACTCCTTAAAGACGCCGGGCACCGGTGTCAGCAGGCCAAGTAGGATCACGCACGATGTGTCTGCAGGGCTGCCTCCTTCTGTGGGCTCTGGGCAGAACCCATCTCCTGGGATCTGGCTGTTGGCAGAATTCACTTCTTTGTGTTTGTAGGATAAAGGCCTCTGTCTCCTTGATGGCTGTCAACTGGAGGGACATGCTTTGCTGCTAGAGGCCTCTTTCTAGATTTTGTCCATAGCCATTCATTACAGAGGCAGCCAAGGGGGTCATAGCTCCTCTCCCTACGGTCACTCTGACCCACACTTTTATTCAAGGTCACGTGTGATTACACTGGGCCCACTCGGAAACACGGAAACTGCCCCCACATTTCAAGGTCAGCTGATTAGCAACCTTAATTCCATCTCAAACCTTCATTCCCTGTTGCCTGTTTTTGGGGGTAGTAGGACATGGATACCTTTGGTGGTCATTCTACCTACTACCAGTAACGATTTAAAATAAATATATTTTATTGATTTTTTGTTTGTTTTAGAGAGAGAGGAAGGAGAGAGAGAGAAAAACATCAATGTGAGAAACATCGACTGGCTGCCTCCTGCACGCCCCCTACTGGCGATTGAGCCTGCAACCTGGGCATATGCCCTGACCTGGAATCAAACCAGGACCTCTCAGTCCATGGGATGACACTCAATCCACTGAGCCACACCTGCCGGGCAATATATTTTACTTTTGTAGCAAGAATAGGTCACACCTGCTCTGAGAATTTAAGTAGTAAGTACAAGTGAAATCACATGGTGTGTTTCACAAGGAAATTCTTATGACATTCCTAGGAGGAATTTATTTTCTAAGGAGTTTCTTTCTCAGGGGATTCTTTCTTAGCTACAGAAATACATTTGCAACTATTTTCAGAAATCATGAGAAATTATCATGATAGAAGGAAAATTTGATGTGTGTGGAAGAAAGAAAGAAGTAGAACTCCTCCCCTCCCCCCAAATGATGCAGATTGATGCAGATACTACTCAGTGTAGCCAATCTGTGTCAGGCCCAGGGTTATCAGATTCTCTGAACTTTCAAGAAATATTAGATTTCTGAAATATTAGAAAATGGAATTTGTACTGCGGTGCTATCATCCCATTTTAAATTTTGTTCATTTAAAAAATATGGCCACTGTGTTTTTTTAAAATATAGAAATTGTAAATATTTGGGGTGTACAACATGATCTTTTAAGATATACATAGTGAAATCATTACGGCAGTCAAGCTAATTAACACATTTATCTTACAAACCTGGGATCTACTTTCTTAGCAAAGTTCCATTACAGAATACGGTATTATTAACTATAGTCACCATGCGGTCCGCTTCTGGACTTCTAGAACTTACCTTGCATAATTGCAGCTGTGTTCCCTGTGCACTGCACCTCATTTCTTTCTGAGTCAGTAGTGCAGCTTCTCCGAGCGAAGGGGGCGGTGGGTACAGTTTGTGGTCATCTCCGTGCTACGAATCGTGCCCTGTCTGTGACTCTGCACAATAGGAGAGTCCTAAAGGCAAGAAGACAATGTCTAATTACATCTGAAAGGCGGAGAGCTCTCTAAAATAGTTGCCATATAATGCACAGAGAGAAACAGCGGTTGAGTTTATTGAATACACCTAGCCAACGTTTTATTCGGATGAAGGTGACCTTGCAAGCATGACACTGAAAGGTGGAGAACTTCAAAAAAAAACAAAAAAAAACAAAACAATATTTACCAGTTATTAACAAACTGAGATAACAGTTTTGAAATCCCCTTGGTTACCCAGGATCCTAACGTACAACGATAGTATTACTAACTTCGATCAAATACGAGTGTGGAGGACATGATCCTAGTACTCAAGTGACTCATTCTTCAGAATGATTTCCCTGCTCCCTCCGGCATCGGAATCATTTGGAAATGCGTGTGCTGACTGTTCTCACAGACCAGCGCCTGCTGGCCTCCTGACCCTGATTCAGACTGCGTTCCTTGAATGCCACTCCTCTGGCATTTACCTCCTTGTAAAGCACTGGTATCCAAGATAATGTTTTGGAAGTTTGCAAAGCAGCGCAAACTACCTGTTGAATTTGCAAAGTGTTTAAAGCATCCTCTGTCCGGGTTAGTGTAGCATCACTGTGTTCTCCACGTTAGCCTGTTGGCAAGTTTTAATTTGTGCAATCTAATAAACAATTCCTTGATATTTTCTACAAGGATATAAACACCGCATCACAGTTAAACGACTATTTCCTGAAACAGTAAAATACTAGCAATTTTTAAGTAACATTTCTTTCACTTGAAAAATAAAAGGATGTCTCGCAAGGCAATGTGTGGAGTGACTTGCTTTATGCTCCTAAGGAAGTCAAGAGTCTATTTAAAGAAAATTATATTACATGGGCTCTTTTTTTTTAAGTCTAAGAAGTTTCGTTCTTTAGAATATTAACATATATGAATATTTCCTACATTTTAGCATAAATCACAAATAATAATATATGAGTGGCGAGTTATCAGTTTTATGCAAGATTCTTCTGAAAAAGAAGGAAGAGAGCTCAGTTATTTCTATTTATTGTCTACATATTTCAAGTATAATTGCCATTATTTTATTGTGGCTAAAACAACAGATTTATATTATTTAAACACAGTTTTTCTACTACATCCATTTACCAGATTTGATGGATCCAACTTTCTTTTTCACTTTCTCGATGGCTAACGGAATCCAGGCTTAACATCTCAAAATCAAACTATCACACACAGAGCTTAACGATTTGCTTTTGGTCTCTCCCATCTTTAATTCATGCTTGCATTTATTGGTAACTTTAGGTATCAGAATGCTTGAATAAAAGTGAAAAACTCTTTATCCAATTTAATTCTGGATGGTGGAAAGGTACACTAAAAAATGAGTCCATGAATACTGAGAAGGTATTTATATGAATAGAAATTTGAAAATTATATGTACTGGCAATAGGACTTCCTAAGATATATTTAAGAGACAGTAATGCTCAAATAGATTATTAAGGAAATGTTCAGATTGTAAAAATGAAGAAAGTATACACACACACACACACACACACACATATTCTCTCTCTATAAAGTATATATATATGAGGGGGAGATACAATGACTGGTGGAAGGGGGGCATGGGATATCCTATGCTCCATAAATGAAGGTGCTATAATTGGGAGATTCTTATGTTAATTATTCATACAAAGTATCTCGAATTTTGTTTTCGAAGGTTTATACCGCATGTATGTCTCCGAACTGGCGCGCACTGGTACCCCCATCGGGACAATCATGGCAGAGGATAAGGACATAGGAGATAACGCAGAAATGCATTACAGCATCGAAGACGCCTCGGAAACGTTCGACATCATTACTGATGATGAGACGCAAGAAGGCATAGTTATATTAAAAAAGGTAGACGTATTAACATTATTTGCTTTGCAGATCAGAAATACATACAATTATTTTGTGTAGCCAGTTGTTTCATTAGCTCATTGAAATGAGAACCTGTGATTTATGATTTAGTGAGAGAAGGAGGTTAGAGATGAGATTTAGTTATTACAGAGGTTTTTGAGTTATATGTAGAATTTTTTTTTTGAAATTAGAGGACAAACTTTTTGTTAAGATCTTAAATAACAAGGAATTATTATTAATTCCACAAGATACTTATGCCCAGAAACGTATGATTTTAAAACTAAATTTTAAAAATATAGTTATTATCCCAAAACATTTTGTAATAGATAACAATAAGAAAGCACAAATAGGGATTTGCTGTTCAACTGCTTCATGATGGTGTCACAGGGATGCAGTAGAAAAGAAGTAAAATCAATATGCAAATCATGAATCATAGAAATGTACACCTGAAACCTATATAATCTTTTTAACCAATATCACCCCAATAAATTTTTAAAAATGAAAAAAAAAAAAAAAATCCCAGACCAACCTAAGGGGTTAAGGGAACGTAAAACCTAACTGAAATAGATCATGGAACAACTAAAACTTTTCTCTTTCCAAGTAATGCCTTGGGTTACTGAAGCCATTTCTTCTGTGTCCACTATATTCCTTCGTAGAAAGTGGATTTTGAGAATCAGATCTACTATCATATCAAAGCAAAAGTTAAAAACCGCCATGTTGACGAGCAGCTCATGAAATATCACGGGGAAGCCTCCACCACGTCCATTAAGGTACACGTGGAGGATGAGGATGAACCTCCTGTCTTCCTCCGCCCACAGTACACGTTTGACGTCATCGAAGGCGACCCCCAGGGACTGTATGTGGGCCTGGTCGCTGCCGTAGACCCAGACCAGAGGAAATCTCCTGTCAGGTACGTGTGGAAGGCCAACCTTGCAGTAATGAGTGAATGAGCACAGATTGGCCTAAATATTAGATTTCACGTGACTGTAACAAGGATATGATCATATTTCTCTGTGTGGCACTTATCACATTTGCAACAACTTAGACAAGTTACAATAGGGAGCCTCACTGTTGGTGAAAAAGCGGTGAAATAAGTAACCAACTGCAAACATGCAAGAAATAGGCAACCACCATCTAGAAGTGAATGCAACCAACTCCATTAATTGGGGTAAGGAGGTGAGGGTAGAAAAAATCCTTGATTACGCCTTATCAAAGAAAAAACAAAACCGATCCAAATGTGGGTCATTTAAATATTATGGAATTAAAATGATATTCAAAAATTGAGAAAGCTTTTAATAGGATTGGACCTACAGGAGTATAGATAAAAAAAAAAGTCTAATCAGAAACAAATTTCTGTGTTACAATTAAAGAGTATTTGCCACTATTAAGCTAGTCTTTTATATTCATGTACTCTATTTTCTTCTTCTTTTCCCCAATATTTGAATCATAGGTCTGGTTAGAGATAAAAACAAAATCTGTTACATGTTCCCACAATCATCTATTTTTCACACTTCACAGTTCAGGGAATTCCACAAACCTCTATGTATTTATAATGATGTTGGCTCTGCTGTGAGCTTTGGGGAGAGGGGGTGGGCCCACAGATACAAAAAAGAAGCTTCTTTAAATTTTTGAGCCAGAGGGATGCTCAGTTTTGCATAGTAATTACTAATCATAAAAACTGCCTCCTAATTTGTAGATATAGTTCCTATTTAGTTACAGTAATTTAGGAAAAAATATGTATACATGTTATATATATTTTATATATATATATATATAATTATAACCAAATAAATCAATCATTTAGACTTTTAAAGTAGTATATCTATTAAACGATTTTTGTTCTTAGAATATTTAAGAATATCTAATTTTTAAAAATGCTTTAATGATTAAGCTGTTCATTATGTTATAATTTATAATAAAGTGTTTAAAACAATTGAAATATTGAATCTTAGTGATGTAAATAAGGCAATGAATGATGAATGATTTACAACAGGGTCTTTGAACAACGATGAAAACATGGCATAATTTTATTTTATTTATTGATTTTTTTTGGTATGTGCCCTTAGCGGGAACCGAACCCAGGACTCTCTGGTCCGCAGGCCAAGGCTCCAACTGCTGAGCCAAACCAGCCAGGGCACATGGCATGATTTTAAAAGATAATGCAAAATAATTAGAGCTGTATGTTTACCACTAGTGAAAATGTTAGGTATTCATGAGACCAGTGAGACACACCCAAACATTAACAGGGGTTACACGTTTCATAGTATTACTTCTGGTGCTTACTTACCTTATTTTCTACCAAAAATATTTTTAATAACTGTTTTCATTTTTATACTGAAATTAATTACTTTAAAAAATAGTTTGTGAGTACCCATCAAAAATATCTTTCAATACCCTCTCTGGACAACCTTCCATTCATAAGTGTCTTATACATAGGATTGCTTTTTATATATTAGGATCACAGTAGTGTTTTTTTTTTTGTTGTTTTTTTTTCTCACGTAGTAAGCCAGTGTTCAACATATATCATGAAAACAAAATTAAATGTATATGGATTTGGTTTTCATGTGTCTCAGTTTCTTCTGTGCAGTGGGGATAAAACTTTTGTGATCACACAAACACACAGAACACAAAATAAAGGCATCTGGAGAAGGAAGCCTGGAAGAATCATTTGTTTAAATCATTCTGGCAAGAGCTGTGAGCAATGAGGAAACATTGCACAGTCATGTTTTATTCATTCAGCTTTTAAAAAAATTAAATGTTGTTGGGGTGACATTGGCTAACAATATTATATAGGTTTCAAGTGTGCATTTCTATCATACATGATCTGCATATTGCACTGTGTGCCCACTCCCCAGAGTCAACTCTTCTTCCATCACCATAGAACCCCCTTCACCCCCTCATCCCCCTTCCCTCTGTTAACCACTATGCTGTTGTCTGTGTCTAGGAGTTTTTGTTTTATTTTTCTTGTTTGTTCATGTGTTGCTTTCAGTTTTATATCCCACATATGAGTGAAATCATGTGGTATTCTAACTTTTTCTCTCTGACTTATTTTGCTTAGCATGATATTCTCAATATCCATTCATATTTTTGCAAAGGACAGTATTTTGTCTTTTCTTAGGTCTGAATTGTATTCCATTGTTTATATTATTAAAGGAATGAAGAGTCCAAACAAGGAAATTTGAAGTGAACCAAAGATTAATCTTCTAAGCATCAAAACTTTACAGTTCAAGCATTTTAGCTCAGGCTCTTTATGAAATATAGTAGACATGGTCTCTTTCTTAAATGTGTTTATTGACTATTACTTAAAAAGTTACTGCTGACTCAAAATCATAATTTTTAAAAATGTTTATTTGAAAATAATCTCTAACTTTTAATTGGTTTTATTCTAAATGGTATTTTATGGAAATAGGATATTCTAGATGTTTAATACAAAATATTAACTGCAAACTTCTGTTTCATTAGTCAACAAATCTCTTAAGTAGAAAATGTGTCCATTTGTGGGTCTGTAAATAAATTGTAATTTCTATTTTAATTCTCCCTGGAACACCAAGCTTAAAATTACTGATACTTTTAGAGACCTATCAATTCAAGACTAAAATACTCTAATCTTTGCCACATAATTATGGCAAACCTCCCTGATGTCTCATCAGAGTCTTCCGGAATAGCCATGCAGTGAGAAGCCATCACCAAACCCTAGTTTTCACTCTTTAAATTCTATTATTAATTACTTACGGGCAAGTAAGAAATGCTAGGTAATTCTAAGGCTTCTTTCATTGTGGAGTTGGAGATCATTTTCTGGGCTTTTGCATGAGGGAATTTTATGATCTGGCTTATTTCCATGTATGGTCTAATAGCACATTAGATCTGCTACCCTTACTTCTGGGATATATCTCTATCTCTATCTCTATCTCTGTATCTGTATCTGTATCTCTGTATCTGTATCTATATCTATATCATCTCTCTCTCTATATATATATATGTGTGTGTATATATATATCTCCATCTATATCTCCATCTACACATATTATTTATTAAATATCACATTGTTTTCCTTCAGTGAACAAAAACAGTTTCTCATAGGTCAGCTATCAAGTAATTATAATATGATGCACAGATTTAACCAGCAACTATGCTGTGTTGGGCAGAGACTAAACTGGGAATATGTTTTATGTGGCTTCAAATAAAAAAGGCATTAATTTTTATCTCCATTTATTTGCATTTCTCTTTATTTGTTAAATGGCATTTTGCTGACTCTTTCTCATCGAGTTACTCATTGAGACCCTCTCTTAGAAGGGAGAAGGAGTTTAGACTCAGCAGGCGGCAGTGTAAGTCTAAAGCCATTTTATTATTATTTTTTTCCTATTTCCACTGAGTGAAATCTTAAATATATAAATACACCTTTTTGAAAATTGTTCAGAATTCAATTAGCTCTGTGGAACACGCATTTAACAATTTGTCTTGTGGCTTTAAAAGGGTTTTATGCATCACTGTTATACAGAGAAAAAATAAAATTGAGGAATACTTTTTTCGGTTCAGGTATTCTGTTACCCGAAGCAAAATGTTCCAAATTGATGACAACGGCACCATCGTCACAACAAGTCCTCTTGATCGAGAGGTTAGTCCTTGGTACAACCTCAGCATCACAGCCAGAGAAATATGTAAGTGCTCATTTGGGAACCACACATTGGTTCACCATGCTTTTAAACCATTCAGTCATCTCTGAACACAGGGACAAACACTAGCTTAAAATGTTATTGGAATTAGAGTTAAATATATTTTATATGTCAATTCATGCGTGTGTATTTTTGTTATTTTAAATTAACAATACCTTCTCGTTCCGATGACAGTTTATAAATCATTCCTCCATTTGAATTTCAATAGTAATATCAGCAAAACCACCTGAATAGTGAAAAACAGGGTGCCCCATAAAAGTGTTACAAAAAAAAGCAAACTCCCCGCCTGGGCTAATTACCTGGAAGTTTGCAACTGAACAATTACGCTAATTGTAGGAAAGAGGTACAATTGCCTCTGCCTTGTAACGTTTGTTTTCTCAGGAAATGAAGTTCCCTGTGCTTACTGTTTCCTGGAAAATTTCTCAAATGTAGCAACAAGCTATTTATCAGCATCTCAGCTAAGTGAATAAAACTACTAACTACTTTCAAAATGACCCTGTGATGATATATGTTTGTTTTATATAGTCATGTCAAAGGTTTAATTTGAACTTAATTTTAAACAGATTGTTTTCTCAGGAAAAAAAAAGAATAAAAACTTTAAATGAACGACTTACTAATTTTTCTTAAATGTATTTGTACCTGAAATAGTTTTTTCCAGTTTACTTACTTAAGCAAAAAGTTGTTCTATGATGATGTATTATATGTTTAAACCACTAAAAAATAAGCCCGAAATTTTGAGTTATTCCATCATGAAATCTCTAGGAATACCTTATTATATTTTAATATTTTATTTATATTTGATATAACACAGTGGAGAAGAGTCTCAAAATAATTCTTAATGGTTTATGTATTTTCTAAAGGTCGTGGATTTTTTGTTGTTGTTGTTGTTATGTATTAAACCTTGCAATTTTAAATTTTTAAGTACATGAAAATTGCAATGTGTATCATCATTGCAACTGTCATTTATTGAGAAAGATAGTTACAAACAAAACCTCATCCCAACCCAGAAGTCCCCTCCACAACAGTGGAATTGAGAGAAAATGAACAGCATTAAACCAGAACATGATGTGCATGAAAGAAAATCCGCTGAGGTTGCCAAGGCAAAGAAATCTCACCTTGTCCCCACCCAGGCAGATACAGCCCATTGCAAGCTGCTCTCCAGATAGTTACCAGCCCTCCACAGGAGCACTTCCCATCCGTGTCACACTGTTCATTTTAAAGTCACTATGCAGTCGAAGCGACCATCTGTGTTTGCTCACTGATGTTATCCAAATAAAAATGAAACTTTTTAGTCCTTTTAGACAGAGGTAGCATTGCAGCTTGAGTCAAGGTCTTGCTAAAGTTTGGCTCCTCCCCTCCCACAGAGACTGGAAGGGGGTGGTGCTACCCCGTTGATGACTGCATTCCAAAGAGTTGGCTCTCAGTACTTGAGAAAGGCAAACCTGGGTTGGCAGTCGGCAAGAGATTTCTTAACTTTTAAAAGGTTTATATACATTGCAAAGACACAGAGAAATAACTCAGTTACAAGTTTTCTAAAGTAATTGTTCTAAGAGGAAGAAGGGACAGTATTTTTCCTTATTTTCAACAGAGAGAATGAAGTCTCTTTAAAAACAAATGTCTTTGCATTAAAAAATACAATAGTAAATGTAATGCTTTTACATGAACAAAAGAGCATGTAGGTTATAAATAGAAACATTAAGAGAAACAAAGGATACTTCTTCTTCCTATTCTTTAATTGTATGAACCTTTTTCACATCATTTAGATTTAAAATAATGTTATACAAATATAGAACATATTATGCTGCAATTTGCTTTTCTATCATTTCAAAAATATCGTGTATATCACTTCTGGTTAGTAGATAAATAAAATATTTGGTATTTATTCTTTATATGCTGAGTAATTTTCTAAATGCTTTATATGTATTAATTTATTTAATATTTATAACAATTCTGTAAGTAGTTACTCGTATCATTTGCATTTTACAGAGAATCAACAGAAACAAATAGTAGTTAAATATTTTTCTCAAATTGAGAACCAAGATTAAAATCCAATTATAAACCTCATAATATTAATACATTTGTTATGTTGACTCCTTCATTTTTAATAAGCACACAGAATTTTATAGTATGGTTGTAATCTATATTGCCAATTCCCTTTTGATATACATCTAGGTTATTTCCAGTTATTAGTGTGTGATGCAAACAATTCTGGAATAAATTAATTGAATCTTAGACTCTTATACACTGGTGCTAAGGCAGGATAGTAAGAAACTAAGAGAATCCCTTGGCAAGTGAAATGTGGAAACTGAGTCAGATTCTTAACCAGCTAAGCAATTTACAGCCAGATAATAAGTCATAAGATCTTATCTTCCCTAACCAAGGACATTTAGGAGCAAATGGTTCACACATTTCAGAACTTGCTGGGCCAGACCTGCCTAGTATCTGGTCCCTCTTGACATCCTTTGAGGGTGAAACCCAGACCCCTCTATATGCTCATTTTGATGAATAAGTATATAAAGGACACACCTGGAAAGCTGATGAAAAATCTATTGAGATCCTCCCCTGAGACCTCTTCCTTTTTTTTCTATAACCTGTTTTCTTTGTCCACACAGCCCAGTGTGGCTCATTTCTTCTGCCTCGGTGGACTTGTTAAAGGACAAACGCAGCCTCACTTAGGCGCACGCCTAGGCTCACTTCTGTGGCTATGATCTTGCCTCTTCTGTCTTAAGCCCTTCTTCTATCACACTGCCCCCAGCTTTCATAAATATACTCTCAAAATCACCTGCACTAGTGTCATGAAAACTTCTATTCATGAAGTCAAGAACCTGTACGTTCCAAATGCCAGGGCAGGCCCACCTCAGTGGCAGTCCCTTTCCGGTGACAGAGCCTTAGACTGGAGCACAGGTTTCCCAACCTAGTTACTGGTTGAGATATGTGTAATTTAACTTGTACTATCTGTTGCCAGATTAGGTTCTAGAAAATGTTTACATCCCCATTGTTTCTCAGCACTCTGCCATCACTGGGTCTGTTTTGCATATTTAGCTCGAATTACATGGACCAATTCATCATTCTCCTCACTTCCGGTGAGCAAGAGCCATAGTGAATATTATGATAAAGTAGCATCTCTCAGCTGTGGGTTATTTTGCCTTCTAAGACATTTGACAGTGAGTGAGGGTAATTTTGATGATCACAACTAGTGTGAGGATTGTTACTGGCATTTAGTTAGTAGAGACAGAAAATGCTAAGCATTCTTCAATGCACAGTAACCCCACAAAACGAAGAATTATCCAGTCTAAAATATCAATAGTGACGAGGTTAAGAAACCCTGGTATGAATCATTTGAATTTTCTCCTCTGTGAATTTGTGGTTTGCAAATATTTCCACTGAATTGTCTTTTTTATATCATTTGTCAGGATGTGAAAATGAGAGCTATTAATATTTCATCTTCTGTTTAAGCATTTTTCCAGATCCCTGTTGTTTTAGCTTTTTTACATTTCTCTTTGCCATTTAAAAAATGCATTTAATCCTATCTTCCCAATCTTTCATAGTTTTTGTATTTCTTGGCACACTTAAGAAAATCCTTCCAACTCAATATATACATAAAAAATTTTAGCTGTTATTTTAATTATCTTATTTTACCGTGTATTTAGATCATTATTTCATATCCTTTTTGCTGTTGTTTTTAAAGTCTACACTGAATGATGCTGTCATTAAGAGTACTGGCTGCCGGCATCTTAACTACCTTTTCCATTTCAGCTCTGACCTTAGGCAAGTCATTTAACTGTAATGTATAAAATTAACAGTTTCTCAATGTTTTTATGAGTAAAACTGGGGAGGATAATAACACACATATTCATCAGGATTGGATGAATTAATAAAAATGTGTTAAACATTTTCTGGATTTCAGGCAGATGTTCATGTAACTATCTTCTTTGCTACTTTTTCTCATGAGTTCCTACATCTATACCAGGTACCAGGCACCTGATCAATTTTGGTTGTGTTGAATGTGTTGGGAACATTCTTTTCTAGGCTGTATTGTTGATAAATATGTGAATTATATAGAGACCCTGTCCTTAGATAGTTTTTATTCAAACAAAATTATACCAGATACTCCTGGCCAGTTTGTTTCAGTGGCTAGAATGTCGGCCCAAGGACCAAAGAGTTACAGGTTCGATTCCAGTCAAGGGCATGTTACCTCAGTTATGGTTCGATCCCTGGCCCTGGTTGGGATCATGCAGAAGGCAACCAGTCGATGTGTCTCTCTCACATAGATGTTTCTCTCTCTCCCTTCCTCCCTCCCACTGTATCTGAAAAGAAGAAATCAATGAAAAATTATCCTCGGGTGAGGATTAAAAAACAAAAATCATACTAGATAGCCTCTAACATAATTTTTAAAACATTTCCCCTAAAGACAGCACTGACATTATTTATTTTCATTCTGTTTGTTGCAGACAATGTAGAACAGATTTCTGAAGTTCCTGTGTATGTACATGTTCTCAATATTAATGATCACGCCCCTGAGTTCTCTGAGTACTATGACACTTACATCTGCGAAGATGCAGGTTCTGATCAGGTGAGAACTCATAACAAGTTGCTGACATATTGACTACTTGCTTTTATATTGTAAGTTCTGTATAAGTTAAATTTCTCTTCTTTAAATGTCACACTCGGACCGTGTTTCTGTCGATGATGAGTGCACACAGGTATCTAATGGCTTATTCAGAATCGCTAAGAAGGAAATGGGTCCCATGTTGAGAACTTGTAATGTATGACACTAGTCTTAACTATTACTCTTGATATTAACTAAATTACCTCTAACAAAGGCCATTTCTGCCCCTTTACTCTTTAATAGTATTTTATCTTTACTAAATCTTTAGAAGATAAGAATTGTAGAGTAAAAGTTGTATCATTCTCATCAAATGACTCAAAGCAAAAAGAAAAAGGACAATATTAAACACCTACATACACTCATAAACTCAAACACAAAAAATATTAAGCATATGGCTGTAAAGATCATATGAAATTATAATTAAATGCAATTTCTGAAAATATTAAAAAACAACTCAAATATAGTGTGTTCAGGAGTATAAATACACTATCAACTTGTATAATAAACTTATTTTAATTTCCAGAATTATTCACAATCTAACTGTGTGATGTTGACAACATCTCTTTTTTTGACAATAAGGAACTACTTAACTGACACATTCCTGTCTTGAAAGAAAATAAATAATCGAGATCTGATTTGTTCACAGTTGCATTACTTCACGTTTTCGTGACCTAAGATAGAGGAACTTATTTGAGGTGGAACACTTTTCCTATCATCTTTATGGGTCAAATAAAATCATGTACATTTCCCCTAAACTTGAAATGCATTATTTCCTTAAATCGATTTAAAAAGCTCATTATATTGGCAAATACTTTAGTAAAACAATAACTTCACCACAGTTATGCTCTCAGTATGAGCAGGGAATATATAATTTTAGCAAATCATGATGGCTGGCATTCAGACAGGGACGGGGGAAGGAGAGAAGGAAGGAAGAAATCTAGGTAGGAAGAATGGGAGGGAGTCTTGACATACAGCTGCAGTGCTTTGAGAACTTCTAACAAACAGCTTATGGAAACCATATGGCCTATTAACAAAAGCATATTTATTATGTAATATCAAAACACTCTTTTGATTGGGGCAAGTAAAGATATTTTTAACTTAAGAAAATATGTTACTATCTCTATCAATGTCCTCTTCAATGTCCATAAAGATTTTGGTAAAGTAATTTTAATTAAAAAAAAACTAATAACAACAACAGTGATCTTTTCCCTGTATATATTAAAAACATGTGCGCACACACACACACACACACAACTTTCTATTATTTTTCTAGGTAATTCAGACCATCAGTGCGGTGGATAGAGATGACTCTATAGAGGATCACTATTTTTACTATAGTTTATCTATGGAAGACAAAAATAACTCTTCATTTACTATCAGAAATAAGACAGGTAATTCCATTTACTCTTTTTTTAAGCCTTTTTTTTTATTTTTCAATTACATTTGACATATAATATTTTATTAGTTTCAGGTATACAACCCAGTGATTAGACATTATAAAACTTAATGTGTCCAGCCAGTGTGGCTCAGTGGGTTGAGCATCTTCCCATGGACTGAGAGGTCCTGATTTGATTCCCAGCCAGGGCACATGCCTGGGTATTGGTCTCAGTCCCCTGTAGGGAGCGTGCAGGAGGCAGCCAATCAATGTTTCTCACATCGATGTTTCTCTCTCTCTCTCCCTTCCTTTCTCTCTAAAAAATCAATTAAAGCATTTTTAAAAAATAATAAAAAGTAGTAAAACTTAAGTGCTCATCCTGAAAATTCTCATACCCATCTGACACTGTACATAGTTATTAGAATATTATTGACTATATTCCCTGTGCTGTACTTTATACCCCCATGATGACACCATAACTACTAATTTGTACTTCTAAATCCCTTCACCTTTTTCACCCATCCTGCCAACCCTTTTTTTCTGGCTACAGTCAAAATGAGCCTGTTTCTGTTCTGCTTGTTCATTTATTTTGATTTTTTAATTCAATTTTTGATAGATATATGTTTATTGCCATTTTATTGTTCATGTCTTAGTCTTTGTTCTTTTTCTTCTTAAAGAAGACCTTTTAAAAGTTCATGTAATACTGGTTTGGTGGTGATGAACTCCTTTAACTTTTTATTGTCTTGGAAGTTCTTTATCTGTCCTTCAATTCTAAATGAAAGATTTGCTGAATAAAGTAATCTTAGTTGTAGGTCCTTGCTTTTCATCAGTTGGAATGTTTCTCTCCACTCCTTTCTGTCCAGCAAAGTTTCTTTTGAGAAATCAGCCAACTGTCTTATGGGAGCTCCCTTGTAGGTAACTAACTTATTTTCTCTTGCTGCTTTTAAGATTCTCTCTTTGTCTGTAAACTTTGCCATTTTAATTATGATGTGTCTTGGTGTGGGCATCTTTAGATTCATCTTGTTTGGGACTCTGTGCTTCCTGGACTTGTGTGTCTATTTCTTTCACCAGGTGAGGAAAATGTTCTGTCATTATCTTTTCAAACATTTTTTTCAATTTCTTGCTCCCTCTCTTCTCCTTCTAGCACCCCCATAATGTGAATGTTGATGTGCTTGAAGTTGTTCCAGAAGCTCCTTGCACTATTTTCATATTTTTGGATTCATTTTTCTTTTTGCTGTTTTGATTGGTTGTTTTTTGCTTCCTCAGATTCCAAATCTCGGTGTCCTCTACTCTAGTGTTGATTCCCTGTGAATTATTCTCCATCTCTGTTAGTGTATCCTTTATTTCTGACTGACCCTTGTTGATGTTCTTACTAAGTTCCTTAAGTCCTCACTAAATTCCTTGAAGTTCTCACTAAGTTCCTTGAAGTTCTCAGTGAAGTTCCTTGAACATTCTTACACCTTTTTTAAAAAAATTTTTTTTAAACTCTGTATCTGGTAGTTTGCTTGCTTCTATTTCTTTTCGTTCTTTTTCTGGAAATTTGTCCTGTTCTTTCATTTGCAACATGTTTCTTTGTTGCCACACTTTTGGCTGCTTCTTTGTGTTTGTTTCTGTGTATTAGGTAGAGCTACTGTGTCTCCAGAGTTGGTAGAGTGGGCTTGTGCAGTAGGCTTCCTATCGTACCCAGTGGCTCAGCCTCCCAAATCACTGAGCTGGGCACTCCAGCTGCACCCCTCTGTGGTCTGCGTGCCCTGGCGCATTCTAGGACTTCCATTCAGCCAGATTTCAGGTGGTTCTGAATGATGGTTGTTCTGTAGATCAGTTGTCCTTTTCACGTGGTTGTGGGAGGAGGCAGTACTGCCTTAACCTTCAGCACCACCTTGCCCCCTCGGAAGGCTCCATTCCTTCTTGATGGCTTGTGATCCATTCCCCTAGCATGGTGGTTGATGTGCAGTGAACTCATAGCATTGCTTTTCATACTTCTGCTGCAAAATGATAATGTTGAAATATAGAGCAAGAAGTAGAAACGAAAATGGGAAACAAAACCCGAAGTGAAGTTCTGAAAACACTACCCCCCATTTTCTACTGGATTTCTTGAAATTAGAAGCACTTTTTCAAGTCATCAGTGGCTATAAGTCCTTGTACAGTCTGAATGACTTTGCAAATATAATTTTAGTTCTGACACAATGGTTCCTTTCATATCGCTTTGTAACTCAAACTCAATCTATGTCTGGGGAAGAAAGTGATACGTACTTAACTCGTAGTCATGTTAGCCCGATTAATTCAAAGATATTTTGTGTCATTAGTTATGGCTATAACTGTATGAAATTGGTTTAATATTATTCCTTTTCCTTCAAAATGAAACAATTATATCAATCTAAGGAAAATGTTCTAAAGGATTTGATATAGAGAGACAGAATTTCTTTCCCTTCCATATAAAAGTAACTAATTTTAGAGACAGTCACTCTGGTCTTTTTTTCTCTTTAGCTTCAGTCAAATATTTTATCACCATATCAATTTCTATTTTAATTCTGCTTTATATCCCAAAGATATGAAACACCATTGGATTTATTACTCAAGCATCTGTGACCAAATACCTATAGCTGTCCTTCTGGACAAGAGAGGTTAATCTTTAATGTTGGGGGGATCTTTTGTTGGGAGAATAAATGTACACCTGTTACCTTCCCTTTGTATTTGCCGAATTCCCCAGTGAAGGAAACTCAAATTGACTTAGGGTTTTAAAAAGACCACTCAAATATCAATATAAGAAATAAAATGTAGATTAGATTAGTTTATATTAGTACAAAATAAGGAACTGAGGCAAAATAAAGATACTGAAACAAAGAAAGTAATGAATTTGTTTAATGCTTGTGGTTACAAATAAACTGTATATTGGAAAATCTAAATTCTCTCACCCATTATATCTGCCTAGTAACTAGAACCAAAAGGGTTTTATAGACTTCAAGAGAAAGACGGAGAATTTGTTTTAAAAGGATGACGTGAGAAAAGTCATAAGTAGGCATACATTTCCAAAGGCTTCCATTTGTTTGCATTGTCTTCTGAAGTTTGTCTGATTGCTACAGAAAATATTTGGGAGGCCTGGAAATACCAAAAACAACAACCAAAATGGAAAACATAGCACTGAGGTGGAGGAACTTGAAGTGAACAAGGGTATTTAGATATCTCTACGCTACTGCTTCTAGTACATAGGCCTAGTATGAATTGCTTATGTATTGTTGGAAAACTCATGCACGTGGATTTTTGTTTTAGGTAACACAGCTGAAATTTTGACGAATAGAAGTGGTTTTAGCCTTCAAGAGGAGCCTGTCTTCTACATATCTATCCTGATCGCCGACAACGGGATCCCGCCACTGACAAGCACCAACACCCTGACCATCCGCGTCTGTGACTGTGAGGATAGTAACAGCACACAGGCCTGCAGGAGCAAATATAGCATGCCCTGCGTGGAATGCAGGGCATGGATCATAAGTGGTAGTCTGATATGCATTGTGATAATATTTGGTAAGTAGCGCCGAACTGAACATACCTTCTTTCATTGAAAATACCATCAGAAATGCGGAAAATACATAATTTCATTATAGCAGTGTAGTGTGGCTTTGTGTGTGTGTGTGTGAACACGTGCGTGTTTTTAGTTCCTGTTCTAAATGTATTACAATTCTTAAATCAAGTCAAGTGAATTTAAGAAGTGGTGGATATGCACTTCAAGCTGAAAACCAATAATCCTTGAATTCTATGAGTGTATGAGTATGTGTGTGCATTTTTGTTTAGGAATGTTTTTGACACATGTGCATTGCGACATACGTAGTTATGAAAAAAGTCAGTAGTAATAATGGTGCGCTTCTGTGGGGTGCTTATTACATTCCAGGGAGTGTCTTAAGTACTTTACATACATATTGCAATTTGATCCTCACAGTAAATTTATGAAGTCGTAGCTATTAACACCCATGTCGAATAGAGGAAGAGAGTAAAACTCAAAGGATTATGTGCTTTCCAAAGAGTTCCACAGCGCTGTAAATGATGTTTTGAGATTCCGTAACCAGCGCACACCACTTTGTCAACCCTACACTGGAACTCACTCAGGCCTTTGGAGTATTAAGAAGAGAGTGAATGTTAGCATGGGGAAATGTAAAAGAGAGAGTTTTACTTACTCAGAGTGCTAAACACAAAAAATCGCGGTCAAATAACTCCATGATTTCTTATTGTTCTTATTGTTTGCACAAGAAGGTAAGTTATACTCATTTTACTGATGAGGCAGATGAACCCCCGGTGTTGTATGTATTCAGGCTTTCAAGACAACAGATGATTTATTTGGCATAAGCTTTTATATCTTTTTAATCTATCGGTAGCTATCATCTAAACCATTCTGTTATTTACCCCCTAACTATGTGTGAAAGCCTCCCCAACCTCACTGAGTGTCGAAAGCACTATATCAGCCACTGTTTCTGGGACCCCAAACTCACGACTCCAAGACGCACACTATGTGTCAGAACTTGCTTTGCCTTCACCCCTTTCGTCTTCCTCAAAGCTTCAAAGCCCATACATTCCCCTTTTACCATTCTTGGCTGCTGTTGTTGTTAATCCGCAAGCAGGGTTATCTTTCCATTGATTTTTAGAGAGAGTGGAAGGGAGGGAGGGAGGGAGGGAGGGAGAGAAACATCGGTGTGAGAGAGACACATCGATTGGTTGCCTCCTGCATGGCCCCAACTAGGGTCAGGGATTGAACCTGTGACCCAGGTACATGCCCTTGACCAGAACCAAACTGTGACCCTTTATTCCGTGGGCTGGGCCAACACTCTAACCACTGAGCCAAACTGGCCAGGGCCATCCAACATTGTTTTATACCTGGCTTCAGTGTTTTGAGTTATTTTTAATGATCTTTGATCATAAAAATAAATTTAGAGCTACATAGCTAGACTTCAGGATCAAGAAGCAGTTAAAATAGTGTAGTGATTGGGGAATGTAAAGTACTCAATTAGTACTAGACCTGACCCCAGTCCTGAAACCCTAGGGGTAAACCAGTGGCAGCCCCGCAGACATAGGCATGCACTATTTAAAGGGAGGGAATGGGGGTCAACCAACGGTAGTTTCTTTTGAAAGGTTCATGAGGACTATCTCTAGTTTTACAAATTATTTATTAGACCCCTTTCAGTTTCAACCACATATGTCAGATGAGGAAAGGGAGAGAGAGACAGAAACATCAATCAGTTGCCTCCCGTACTTGCCCCAAGCAGGGATTGAACCCTCAACGTAGGTATGTGCCCTGACCGGAAATAGAACCTGCAACCTTTTGGTGTACGGGAATGATGCTCCAACCAACTAAGCCATGTGGCCAGAGCTCAGATGAGTTTTAAAGTATAGTACCTGAATTTAAACACGACGACCTTATTTGATTTAAGAGCAGTGTTTCAATATTTTAAATGTAGGTTTTGTATAAATATTGTCTAATGTATTTATCTTTGTGATAGTGTTAATGACATTGCTTCAGTTTTGGTTCGAGTCCTATTTGTGAAATTCTGAACGGTCACCTAAGATCCAAAGTTGAGTAAGAATTGGCTATTCTTGATACACGCACACACATTTTCTTTAAAATGAAAATAAAGTATTCTGAATTGTTCTGTTTTTACATGGTAAGATTACCTTCTTAATGAATAACAGTTCATTTAATAATAAATGACATAACAGTTCTATGATGAAAAGACTTGAGGGTTTGGACTTTCTGAAATTAATGTGGTATCACAGAGTACAGATTTGGAACCAGCTATCTGATTCTGAGCACCAGATTTCTGGGTCCTAGCTGTGTGATTGGGCATGTGACTTAACTCCCCTGGGTTTCAGTGCCCTCATTTTTAACAGGGAATAATAATAATATACGGGTCTCATAACAATTAAATCAATGATTAGATTTAAAGGTTTCCAAAAAATACCTGGTACAAACTTCATAGCCAGTAAATATTAACTTAGAAAATAATTATGTCACAGAATGTCCCTCCATGAGGACTGTCGAACTGGTCCACTGTGCTTAACTTCTATTAATCTGTGTCTTTGATTGCTCATGGACAAATGCATAGAGATTGGAAAATATTCCCACATTCTGCTTTGTTCTATTTCCAATATTTAAGAAAAATTTGTTTAGGTTTCAAATTGATCATCATCAAAAATATTTCACTATACTTTATGATGTGTTTCTACTCTATATCATCAACCAGAAAATCTGTCGTACTTCCTATGTTATTCTGCAAGTCTCTTTTTTGTTTTTTTTAATTATTTTTTTCTTTATTGATTTTAGAGAGAGGAAGAAAGAGGGAGAGAGAGATAGAAACATCGGTGAGAGAGTACATCAATCGCCCACCTCCTGCATGCCTCCCACTGGGGATCAGACCCATAACCTGGGCATGTGCCCTGACCGGGAATCAAACCAGCAACCTTTCGGTGCATGGGTTGACGCTCAACCACTCAGCCACACCGGCCGGGCTGCAAGTCTCTTTTGCAAATGTTCAACAGCAAATCTTTTTGTCTTATGTCTTGAGCTTGTGACAAAAGCAATGATTGTCCAGTGTATTATAAATAATATTCATGGTGTGTTATGGTATGTTATATTGTGTTAATATTTTTGTCTGCTTTCTTTGTCAGGGTTTGTTTTTGTGATCATAGCTCTGAAACATCGAAGACACCAAAATCGATTCCCTGAGCAAGGGACAGACTACAGAGATAACATATTCCGATTTGACGAAGAGGGAGCAGGGGAAGAGGACATGGAGGCCCTCGCCATCGGAGAGCTGAGGAGCAGGCCCGTCTTGCGGGAACACAGGGCTCCGAGAACCAGCTCCGCGGACATCAGGAAGCTGTGCAGGCTGTCTTTGCAGGCTGGCCCCGACGATGCCACCCTCAAGGAGTTCATTCTGGAAAAGCTCGAAGAGGCAGACACGGACCCTTATGTTCCTCCCTTTGACTCCCTCCAGACCTATGCTTTTGAGGGAACAGGGTCATTGGCGGGATCCCTGAGCTCTTTAGAATCAGCAGACTCCGATCAGAATGAAATTGATCATTGCTTTAATGCTTGGGACCTTGCTTTGAAAGATTAGCATACCCGATTGGTTCTGCTGTGCAGTCAAATCATCAGGGCTTGTGGGGAGTGTTGGGGGCTGGGTAAAAAAGGTGAAGTGATGCAACAAAAAAGTAAACAAAACAAAAACAAAAAGACACGACAACAGTATGGTGATGGCCAGGGGGAGAGAAGCCAGAGGTAGAAGAGGAGCAAGGGGCGGTCATGGTGACAGAAAGAGGCTTGGCTTTGGGTGGCGAGCCACGGTGCTGGAGGCAGATGATGTGGTATAGAACTCTACACCTGAAACCTAGACGGTTTGAGGAACCAATGCCACCCCCAGAAATTCAACTTTAAAAAAGTTTAAAAATGCTGATATGTTTTTGGGCCAACTGGTAATCTCTCGGTAGAGAGTGGAGTGCTCCAATTCTCTGAGAGAAACATAAGACCTGCGTTATAGTGTTTTCTGATTTCCTCAGAGTCAAGACCCATGGCTATTTCGAGCTAGCACGGGTTGTTTCTGAGTGACGCCGGGGACAGGGGCTGACAGCCAGCTCTTGGGGACCTGTGCTGGCGCCGCAAGCCCACCACGGCCGTATTCTCCAGCGATGTTCGACGCCATCCAGTGCGGATTCTCCGCGTTCCGAGTGCCTGTGTGGGCAAGACACGGGACCTAGAGTCTCTCACTACTATTTCACTTGTGCATTTATTAAATCTTACCAGGTAATTGTAAAGTGTATACATGTGTAAAGTTTCTGATACTGTACAGAGATAAACATGAGCACCAAGGACAATCTGGTTAATCATATAAAATTTGGAAAACTATTTTTTTACATAGGTAAGTAAGTTTGTTAGTAGGAGTCTATAATTCATTCGAGTTTGATATTTTCAATCTTTGTCAAGACAACACTTTAAAACTGATGTCCAATTGAGACAGCTAATTGGTATATGTTAATTAATCAAAGATATAGTGTACATGTGTATTATCTTTTATATCACAGCTTTGGAGAAAAGGGGGATAAACTATGTTTAAAAGTTTTTTATGAATTGTTTTAATGTGTAACCAAAATGTATCTTTATCATGTCACAATACAATGACAAAATATCATCATTAAATTTAAACATCATGAAAGTGGTGGAAAGTGTGAAAAAATTTAAGCAACTTTTTATTGCTACTAAAATGATAGAGGCAAACGAAAAGAGAGCTGGGTTCAAACTTGGATTAATATTCGTTCTAAGTATTATAATCAACTACCCTGAATCCTACCATGCACAGGAAAAAATGTGATAAAATTCTCAGCACTTCCTTTTTTATTAAGAGCTTAGACTATAATTTATTCTTCAGTGTCTTTTTTATTATGGAATATAGAAGTAGGTGCAGTAGTTACTTTTATTGTAACTTTATGAAGGATGAATGCTAAGCTGCTGGACATAAAGCTTTATGGTAATATTAGATAGGATAAAACACTCTAATTTTAATCAATTTTTAAAGCATTATCCTTATTATCCTAGTCAAATCAAGGTGGAATTCAAAATTCATAGTTTAAACAGAAAGTAGTGAATACAGTGTCCTAAAAATTGACTTATGTGTTCATTTTCTATGAATAGCCCATGCAACTGAGCTGAACCAAGTTAGGCATATCTGTTTAAATCAAACATTTTGAATAATTTGGAGCTAAAATTAGAGTTACTTGAATGGCTACAATCTTTTCCCTCTATGCTTTGAATGTAAACATCCACACCATGTAATAAGGGAGAATTTGTTTTACCAATATCAATCAAGTACTGTTATGTTGGTGACACAGATATCATCACTTTACAAAAGCCTAAGAATAGACTCGAAATACAACAGTTTAGGAAGACATTAGAAGTGGATGGGAATAAGTAGGTAAGCTGTAGTAAATCCTTATGCATTCATATCATTATTTACTTAAGAAAGAATAAGAGTGTTAAACAAAATAAAAATTCCAAAGGGTGAAAAACTTGTAAATAAAATAGAAATTTATGAATTCAGCTGACATTTCTATTTCTGCCATATCTACGTAAACATTGAAAGAATATAGTTAGGGAAATTTTTATACATTATTCCATGAAGGATTTTTCCCTGTGTTTAAAAAAGAACACAGTGTAATGATGGTGGAAGAACTGGAAATAATGACTAAGAAGAGATGAAGCAATATATGGAAAGTAGCTTAGAAAAAAGAACTAGGGTGTTCTGGGGGTGCAGAAGCTTCTGCCAAAGATGAAAGCCTTGTAAACTGCTGTCTCTCGGCCTGCTGGGATGGGTGCAATGCAATGAAACTACAAGCACACGCTGCTTGGAGTGAGGGGGAGCTTTGCAAGAGAGCAAATGCTCCAGTTCTCTGGACACAGTCCCTTTTATTTGCAGATTGGTACCTCCAGGTTAAAATTATTTCCTTAATGCCAAAAGGTCACAAACCCTTATTCACATGCAAATGAAGCACCCGATACACCTGGGAGGGCCAGGTTCCCCCCTGGGTCAGATGAGATTGCTTAACACAAGGTTACAAAACGTCCATCTTCCAACCCCCAACCCCCAACCCCCCGGAAACAACTCTTCAATGTGGATGAACACCTTACGAAAACACACAGTGTTCCAATGTGTACATTAGCCAGGTTTCACATTTGTGTCCAGGAGTGTTAAGCCGATGTTTTAAAATAAATTCCAGTTTATTAATGATAAGATTGTTAGCCATAGGATACAGGGAAGAGGGCACCTGGTTGCCTAGCTGTTTTCTAGTCTATAAAGTGTCTTTTTGAACTGCTTCAAAAATGCTTTCTGATTCTATTAGAGAAGTTGTACTATCTGAGATATTGTACTGGGCAATATCTCAATACCTATTTTAATCTTTTCCTAGCTGCATAGGTGTTGCACGAACACAGCTAGCTGTATCCTAAACTGAGGCCATGACATTAAGATCTCATCGTCTTCTATTTTTAAAAAAAATTATTTTTAGAGAGAGAGAGAGGAAAGGAGAGGGAGAGAGAGAGAGAAATATTGATGAGAGAGAACATGGATTGGCTCCCTCCTGCATGCCTCCCACTGGGGATCAGGCCCACAACCTGGACATGTGCCCTGACTGGGCATTGAACCGACTACCTCTTGGTGCAGGGTCCATGCTCAACCCCTGAGCCACACCGGCCGGGCCTCATTCTTTTCTATTTCAATAGAGGCTCCATAATGCGGGCGTTTATGAAAATGAGGCAGCTTTGCGTTAATACCCAAAGCGCTTTGTTAACTCAGAGGGTTAGACATGAATCTTATGTTACTAATGGTTGAAGCAGGAAAATATTTGGTCCTTTATAAAAGAATCAGAAAAAGTTGGCAATAACAGATGTTCACAGACCACGAGATTGTGCCTCACAGAACTGCGTTTCCATTCGTTGGCTTCTCTCTGAATAACTCTGAACTGTGTGGAATGGCCTGGTCTTTCTGGATCTGAGCCTGTAATTTGCGGAGTGAGGTCCCATCTCCCTCTTGCACGCGGTTGTCGTGAAGAGTTGGTCAAACAAGCGGTACCTGACCACTGCGGCTCGGTTAGGCACCAGCATCCCTGCCCCGGCGACGCTCTTTGCTGGAACACGAGGGTCCTTCTCCTCTCGTGCTCAACCCCAGGGGCTTCCCAGCACCTTAGAAATACAAACAAATCGGTGTCCCGATCTGACACATAAAGGCGTGTGTTTCCTGTCCCTGCTTATGTCCGTCTCTCGGCTCTTCCAATCTCATTTTCTAGACCCGAGTGGTCAGCCTTCGCTCGCTCCACTTTGAGGAGCTTGCTGCATTTGGGTGTGTGGTCCCCTGTGGCTCCCTCGGGAAGGGCCCCTCCACCACTGCCCCTCCCGGTGCCTGTGGCTCTGCCTTGCTTGTCATCTGACCACTTAGCTCCCTGGCATTGTTACAGTCTATATATTGTACTTATTATTGTCTTTACCCATTATTAGAGTGCAAACCCGCAGTGGGCAAGGGATTGTCTGGCTTGGTCATTTGTTCTTGTTGGAAATTGTTTCCAGCACATAGTAAGTGACCAATAAATATTCTAAATGAATGTATTAATGAATCCCAATCAATACTTGGTTACCTATAGAAGCTACATTGATTGTTGTTGAATATTAATGTGGAATTCATGTGTTTTTCAAAATAGGTTAGTGCTGGCTAGTTCTTGGATAAAGATTTAAAAAAATATATTTCTAGAAATTATATGGTTGGCACTTTCATGGATTTATTGATATTATACTTAGAATTTTTAAAAAAAGGTAATAATATTACATGGTTCAGTGAGAACAGGCCTCTGATGATGGTGGTAGAAAGTCTCATGAGTAAGTTCCCAGGAAGCATGATGAACACGGAAACATGTGCCAACATGAGAATTCTGCTTCTCATGTCTGAGGACAACCTGGTAGCACATGTGTTGTTAAGCTTCAGGGTCGCACAAAACCTGCCAGGTGAGCATCATGTTCTTCTACATGATACAAAAAGGGCATTAAATGTTACATACAGTAAAGGCTAGGAGACAAATTTGAGAAATATGTAGCATTTTATACTTCCAGTTATTCAATTGTGTGCATCTGTCTGCCTGCGTCTATCTGTCTATCTATCTATCTATCTATCTATCTATCTATCCATCATCTATCTCCTATTCATCCATCCAGCTATATGTTATCGCCTATCCATCCATCCATCAACCCATCCCTCTCTCTATCATTTATCTATTATGAGAAATTGTGATTTCCTGGAGAAGGGGGAGACTAATATCTCAACCACAGAGCAGATTTTTGGTACCTGTTAGAATCTGTTGCTTCCTTCTTTTTCTTTTCTGAGATCTGTGAGGATGACAGGTTGACTGACTGATCGGAAATGTCCAGGAAAGAGAGAGGGCCCCAGACAGACGAAAGGTAGTTCCTTAGCCTTTAACGGGCCAGGCAGCGTGACTTTCCCACAGGTTGTGTGATTGCAGCTATAGACGTTTTGCACAGAGGTAGTAGCTGAGAGGGAGCTTAAATCAATCATGGAAAGATGGCACACAGACGAAGGAACAATAGAAACCTCAGG